GTTCATCATCGTGGTTGACCGCGTCTGACCTTAAAACGATTTTATTTCTGTTTTATGGACTGAGGTCGACCTATGATGATATTGAGGTCGACCTGTGAAGTTCGAGTTGAGATTTCTGCCCTTATTATTCAAGCGATCTTATTTCTGTTTTTTTTGTGCGAAACTAACACAGGTCGACCGCTTCTATTTATGAGGTCGACCGAATCTGTTTTGCACTCAATTGATACTATCATTTGGGTCATTTCTTTTCGTTTTAATTTAGCCGAGGTCGACCTGTGATGCTTCTGAGGTCGACCTATGAAGGCAAAAGTTCGATTTATTTGCCTTTGTCTTTGAATTATGTGTGCAAAACTAACACTGGTCGACCTCTTCTATTTATGAGGTCGACCGAATTTGTTTTTCACTCAATTGATACGAGCATTTGGGCCATTTCTTTTCGTTTTAATTTAGCCGAGGTCGACCTGTGATGATTCTGAGGTCGACCTATGAAGGCAAAAGTTCGATTTATTTGCCTTTGTCTTTGAATTATGTGTGCAAAACTAACACTGGTCGACCTCTTCTATTTATGAGGTCGACCGAATTTGTTTTGCACTCAATTGATACGAGCATTTGGGCCATTTCTTTTCGTTTTAATTTAGCCGAGGTCGACCTGTGATGCTTCTGAGGTCGACCTATGAAGGCAAAAGTTCGATTTATTTGTGCTAAACTTATTGAGGTCGACCTGTGATGATATTGAGGTCGACCTCGGGCCATTTAAATCGATTGAAAGGCAATTGTGACTTTCAGAAGCCGCGCAGTGCAGGAGATTAGGCCATCTTGCAATGCACTCGAAGACATAAACGATTGTGTCTTCGAGTGCATTACAAGGTGGTCTAATGTCCTGAACTGCACGGCTTTTGAAAGCACAATTGGCTTTCAATCGATTTATATTTTCCGAGGTCGATTTATGTTTTTTCTGAGGTCGACCGGATCTGTTTTGCACTCAATTGGTACGAGGATTTGGCCCATTTTAGACTCGTTTCAATTTAGCCGAGGTCGACCTATGAAGCTTCTGAGGTCGACCGATGAAGGCAAAAGTTTGAGTTGTGCAATTGTCTTTGAATTATTTGTGCGAAACTAACACTGGTCGACCTCTTCTAATTATGAGGTCGACCGGATCTGTTTTGCACTCAATTGGTACGAGGATTTGCCCCATTTTAGACTCGTTTCAATTTAGCCGAGGTCGACCTATGAAGCTTCTGAGGTCGACCGATGAAGGCAAAAGTTTGAGTTGTGCAATTGTCTTTGAATTATTTGTGCGAAACTAACACTGGTCGACCTCTTCTAATTATGAGGTCGACCGGATATGTTTTGCACTCAATTGGTCCGAGGATTTGGCCCATTTTAGACTCGTTTCAATTAAGCCGAGGTCGACCTATGATGCTTCTGAGGTCGACCGATGAAGGCAAAAATTCGTGTATGTCGACCCATTCCCGTTTTAAATTAACTGAGGTCGACCTATGATTCTTCTGAGGTCGACCCATTCTCGTTTTAAACTAACTGAGGTCGACCGCTTTATGGAGTGGTCGACCGCGTATTGTTCATTTCGAAAATGTGACTAACGTGTATTCTTGCTTGTTTAATCGCAGAATGTTTGGCAAAAATAAGAAAAGAAAGTCACAAAAAGCTGCTGCCTCAAGTTCGGAATGGGAAGAGTTCAATCCCAAACTGTTCCAGACCAAGGAGCAAAGTGACAACTATGCAGAGAAGAGAATGCACAACCGCAGGGTGGCTCCGAGAAGGCCATTGACGACGGATGCGTATTCTCATTTCGAGAATTACGGGTTTCTGGGACCCTTCATCGACCAAGAGTGGCTGAAGGTGATATCTCTCAATGTACCATACTACCCAAAACTGGTACAGTACTTCTACAACAACATCGTCTACGAGCGCAATGCAAATGGATCCATTCACGCATTCAAATCCTATGTGAATGGGGTGGCGATGCGCATCAGCAAGAATGTGTTGGCGCAAGTACTTCAGGCTCCAAACAAGGGGAAGAGAATCAATTCTTACGGTGCTTGGAATGAAACGCATTTCACGAGAGCCAAGCAAATCCAGACGGTATGTGGTCTTGATGAAGAGGAAGATGCTTAGGGGCGCAATAGGCCATCGAGTAACCACCTGACAGTTCAAGCCAGAGTTCTTCACCACATGCTTTCCTACAACATTCTGCCAAAGGGTGGACATCGCGAGACAGTCACCTACTTCGACATGGAGCTCCTCACCAACCTACTGTTAAGCGAGAAGGTGAACTTGCCATACTTAATCTTTAACCACATGCTTACTGCTGCAGAAAGTTCAAACAGGAATCTTCCCTATGGGATGATCCTCACTGTGCTATTTGGGCATTTTAATGTGAATTTAAGTGAAGAGGTGGGGTTAAGAATCTCAAGGCAGGAGTTCTATACTGTTTCATCTCTGAAAAAGATGGGCTTTGAGCTGCGTAATGGTGAGTATGTCAGAGTAAACAATACTCATGGTGGTGATGATGATGATGATGATGATGATGATGATGAGGGTGATGAAGGAGCTCGAGACGAGCCAATGGGGGAGGCACAGAGTTCAACTCCACCGATCACCTTACAGCGTGTGTGGGAGTGCATGGATGGCATGTACGAGTACATGGGCTAGATGTCCACCCAGATGACTGGCATGCACGACTACATGGGGCAAATGACCGCCCAGATGAGCACAATGCAGGTGACCGTGAATGAGATGCGAGATGAGTGGCGATCTTTCAGCGGAAGATACATGCATCCCACCACATCCGACCACCATCATGCTAGCACCACCAATGAAGAAAATGTGGATGAGAGAGAGGGGGGAGATGAGTAGGAGAAATGAGTTTTTATATTGTGTGTTTTAGTGGTCAAAACGATTGTTGAGTGTTATTCTGTTGTTTTTTTAGTTTTATTTTTATGTGTGAACAATTATGATTTCTGTTTTATTTTTAGTTGTTATGCTATGAATTGATGAGTCCTTGTTATAATTATGACTAATTATGATGGTTTGAAACATAATTTATACGATTAAAAGAACCACACAAATCGACATACATAAGCAAAAAAGACACGGGGCATAGGGTGACTTTCTTGTATTCGGTCGACCTCGTAACGGATTAGGTCGACCGCGAAACCAACACTTGATCTTGATTTTACGTCAATTAATTGGACACTTTGATAGAACACTTATCTTCTATCTGGTCGACCTCTTTCATCATCCGGTCGACCATTTTGTTAATGACTGCAATCAAGTGGTCGACCTATATACCTTAGGTGGTCGACCATGTTGTTTCTGACGCCAACGAAATGGCCGACCCAGGTTTTATTCTGGTCGACCAAAAATATCAACTTAAACTAAGTGCGGTCGACCAGGTGGTCGTTGAGGTCGACCGCAATGCTTTCTCGTGCTGCCCAAATTAGTCGATTCGGTCGACCGCCTTCAGCAATAGGTCGACCGAAAAGTGCATGTCACCGTGACATGCATGTCATAGTAGGCATACCCTAGAAATTAAGGTCATCTACCATGGAATTCAGGATTGTTTATGTTTTTCTCAATGATTGAAAATCTTACTATATCGGCGGTTCCACACAAAAAAAAACTCACATCGAAGTCTAAGTTGGTAGGTGATATTTAATGGTATGAAACGGTTGAACCACGGTTATAAACCACGATTTCAGCATAAAATATCATATCGTTAGATGTGGCAAATGGATTGGATCTATGAATTGGTGGAATAGATTAATTGGTAGATACATGGATCAAATGGATTGATGGATTCATAGATTGAATCATATGGATTAGTTGATTGATCCATGAATACAAATGATATTCAACGCTTGGACCAACATGTAAATATGAATTGGTGATTTGATCCATGAATACAAATGACATCCCAGTCTTCGACCAAGAAATTGAGTAAGTTGAAATAAATATTTAAATAACTACCTATCGTATTAAGTAAAATAACTATCTAGTTAAATTAATTAGATAACAAATTGTATGTATCATAATTACTCTATGAAACAACAAGTAATTGCCCAACAAATAAATTATTATAAGATATTAATAGAAAATTATTGACTATGTTTAGAGATGGCGTCACCTGGTAATTCTGGAGGATCACGTAGTTCTGGAAGAGCTGCAAAGAGATTGAGAAGATTCATTGGGCGTAACATTAGCGCTAGTGTGAGAAATAGGGACCCAAATGATAGATATGAGCCACAACCATAGCCACTAGTGACACCGATGAGTTTGAGGGCAGACGGTTTTCCTCAGTTTGATTTTCAGTTTCCTAGCATGGCTGGTAGTGGAGCTGGTCCCAGTCGTGATAATGCTTCACCGTTTGAGCCTTCAGACGAGATTGATGACGAGTCGGAGGAGTATGAGTCGGATGCTGTTGAGTATCGCATTCCACCAGTCAGTCTAATCAGAGACAGAGGTGCCCCCAGCGGATCGTCAATGTCGTTACTGGGGTTCATGTTGTTACTGGGATCTATAGAGACCATGTGGGGCGTTTCTATAGAGCTCCACAGCCTGGTGAGGGCCAGAGTGGTACTGCTGATGTGGGAGAGGCCTGGGAGCCTAGAGGACCGTGTGCTGGAGGGCTGAGCGACCCGAGTTTGCTCCGTAGCTTTCTTCGGCATGTTGCCCACAGTCTGTACACTGGAGAGGCTGATAGAGGGGTGATCACTTGCTACGACAAAAGTTCGACCCTTCGCCACGTTCTCGACGGTTATGTGATAGCATATGATAACGCTAGGACTATAGTAAAGACATCGGGCCTTGCTCACCTCGTTGATATCACCTTCCAGAGCGAGCTGCACCCTGTTCTCATCTCGGCATTTGTGGAGAGGTGGCAGCCAGATACCAACACCTTCCACATGTCGTTTGGAGAGATGACGATCCTCCTTCACGACGTGGGACACATTCTTGGGCTTGCGGTTGAGGGAGAGGCGATGGTAGTGGATCCGAGGCAGTTGGAGAAGTGGGCACTGGAGACTGACATCCGAGCACTGCTGGGATTAGATCGTGACGATTCTAAGTACGGGGTGCAGGTTGGCGAGGTTGCCACTGCCTAGGTGGTACAGAGGATTTGGTTTGTTGGGTGTGGGAGCTTTGACTCATTTGCAGCAGTCTGGTCCGCCAGCTAGAGAGGCTCAGTGTTACCTTCTTTTGCTGCTTGGGTCCACACTAATCGTAGATAAGAGTAAGGACCGCATTTCTGCTGTTGTCAACTTGTTTGTGAAGAGGCAGGATATGTTAGGAGAGTACGCGTGGGGGGCAGGAGCACTTGCTTATCTATGCAAGCAGCTTGGTATTGCCTCCCGCGCGGAGGCTAAGGGAGTGGTGGGTTGTCTGACTTTACTACAGTGTTGGATTTACGACCACTTTCCTACCTTGAGGCCTAGTCGGTTGGAGCCACGAGAGCTGGAGCAGGGGCAGGCAGGAGCATTTAGGTGGCGCGTACACCACCCCAGTCGACGAAGAAGAGGGATGCACAAATGTTGGCTTATTATCGGCAGTCGATTGATAGTTTGACCCCTCAGTTAGTTTGTTGAACTCCGTATGGTCAGAGTCCTCATCTGACGGTGAGACGTACCTTGTATCAGGGCCTGCTCAGATTTGCAGAGATAGTAGAGCCATATGATCCCACTAGGTGCCTCCGACAGTTAGGCTACATGCAGAGTGTACCGTATCCCTCGAAGCGTCCGCTTGTTGTGAGTCGACCTGCTTCCACTCTTGGATACTCTCTTAGCTACCAATCTATTTATGATTCGTGGTGGAACAACTTGGGGGCGCATAGTGTGCATCTGGACCTTTATTCTACTCCAGTACGACGTAGGCCATGGGAGTTTGCTGAGGATTACATGGGGTGGTAGATTAGGCACTCGCACCCACATATACTGAGTGACAGCCGACCTCGTCGCGACATCACGGATGCTGATACGGTTTGTACGATCATATTTGAAATTATTTGTATTAACTAAAATTTTGTTTGATTGCAAATAATATGTATTTAAATTGTATGGTTTTTGTTTACAGTTGTCTATGTGGATTGAGATATCTCCCGTGATGGATGCTGCACAGGGTAGTAGGGAGGAGTGGATGGCTAGCGCCTACGAGCACTACAAATTATGCCATGCAGTTGGGAACATGTGGCCCGAGTTTAAGTGGAAGTCGCGTTTTCTACCACCTCCACAGTAGTTGTATGATTGTTATGTAATATGTATGAGTGTTATTTTTTGTTTTTAGACGAGTTGACTTATGTTATTCTGTTGTTCTACTACGACTTATGTTATGTGGTGTACATGACAACAGCCAAATTAAATAGTGTGGCAAATACGAATAGATCCACACTCATCATCCAATGACGATTTGTCGTTGGTGCTGTAGTAGCGATGTCAATTCGTCTGATTGCCGCATTCACATCATCACCGTAGATGGGTGTGTATCGCCAATCGTGCTCACGGATTTCTTCAGCAAGTAGTCGCCTCACCTCTGGGAACCCATATTGATTACAATATAAGGCAAAACTAAGTGCACGAAACTCACAATGACCGTCTGGCTCCGGGTCGTGGATGGAATGATAAGGTCCCAAATGAAAACAGGAAGCAGTTCCATGTGTGCGTAATCAGAATGGGTGCTGGATCCAGGGATATCTGTGAAAGAAATAGATAATCAGCACATATTCTACATAAACTATTAATATAAATAACTACACTAATGAAAATTTTAAATTGTACCTGTGTCAGGACAGTTGTATTTGTTGTTTTCTTCGGGATCATCACACTCCTCAGCTGCATGGTCGTCTGACGGGTACTCGTCTGTCTGAGTCCCCGTGGACTTGGTACTGGTCGACTTTGAAGAGCCCGATGTTGTGCTTCCCGACTTCTTTTTCATGTTTTTCTTCTTGCCTCGCAGTATCTTTTCCCACCACTCTTTAGTTCTTCTAGTTGATTTTTTGGTTGGGCGTCCCTTTCTAAATTCGTTCACTTCTGGCTTGTGAATGTTGTCTTTTGTCGGGTGGAGACCACGAAACAAGTTCTTTGCTGCTTTTTTCGTTGCCTCTGGTCCTCTGCGTACAGCCTCATCAACCAACTCCGGAAGGTGACATTTAGCCTCCTCCTCCTCCTGGGGCACGTACTCCTGAGCATTGGATGGACGCTCGTATGTCAGTGTCCGCCCATATATATGAATATCACTCGGGTATATCTCTATGTCTCGCGCTCTGCCATCCATAACTTGACATCCACACCTCAAGTCGTGTGTCACAAAGAAATGACATGAACATCGGGAGTTCTCAATTTTTTCCAAGAGGTAGCCAATTCTTCTTCAGCCTCCTTCATTAATATAATTGCCTGCATGCTGACCTCCCTTCTCAAGTATGTGAAGGGTGTACCAACGGATGCTGAATGGGTTTTCTGTCTAGAGTTTTCCAACATCATCCTCACCTCCCCGAGTTGGTTAGTAATGTAGCGGTGGTTTCCTTTCCATACAGTGTCCATAGATCCCCGTGAGTTGTGGAGGAGAGTTTTCAAAGCGGAATGTGACGACTCAACCCTGTTTGTGCTCATATTTCCTGGATGAAACACATTTTTGGTATGACAAACTGCCCACTTTTCTCGATGTTGCCACCACACTCCCTGTATGTATTGCAATAGACGTGGTTCTTGATTGCCCCATCTTGTCCTAAAGCGGCCAACATACCTTGTTCGGACCAAGAATAAAGCATAGGACACCAATATTGATCGTACGCCTCGTTGACCAAATCCATCATGTCCTTCCCAAATATTTCCAAACACTTCTTCTACACATTGGTGTTGATGTTCCAAACACATAGCAAATGCGGGGTTCGGGGGAAGACCACATAAACCGTAGCAAGTAGTCCATCTTCATGGTCGGTGACGATGACAGTGGGCACGCGTGGATGGAGAAATTGTTGTATGCACTCCAACAGCCAATGATACGAATCTTTTGTCTCGTCCTTCATGAGAGCACAAAAGATGTTGAAATTCTTCCCAACTGGAGTAGCACCTACGACCTCCAACCACAGCCATTTATATGCATTGGTCTTATACGTTGAGTCGATCAGAATCAACATATGGATGGAAGTTGGATGGGCATAAAAAAGATGTGTAAGCACGTCGTTATCGTCCTTCATAACCTCTGTATGATAATTCTCACGTTCAGCTGCTTGCAACGCATGCTGCACTGCATTCATCTCGCCCATCTCGTCTTTCCTAGACTTGGACCCGAGGTTATACATCTGCCTTTGGGTGTGATGCCCTTTGTCACCCTTCTGCTTGTTTATTGCCTGCTTCTATTGCGACAGAGGTACCCCAACATCTCTCATCTGCTTCAGAGATTCTTTATCCTCCTAACTCAATTTATTCATTTGACTGTGGCCCTCGGGATAAAGCATCTTCTTATGATTGTGATACCCTCGCCTTAAATCGGTTTCCTGCTCAATCACTGCTTGTATCTCCCAGAATGAAGGTCCATCAAGAGCATCTGGATCAACCAGTAGTTCTTTAATCTTAACCTTGAACATGCATCCTGATCCTTTTGAACTTGTATTGCCACGACTCTCCTTGGAAGGATCCGGCTTGTATGACTTCATCTCCCTACTGCATTTGTAGCAATACATATAACACATACCCAATACTCTATTGTTGCGCAACTCACGTGGCTTCATCGATCCCTTAGTTACAAAGAAACCAAGAGACATCGCGATGTTTTTGGTCACTGTTACAGCATCTTCGAAATTTTCATATCGGACGGCATTGAGAAAATGGTCTGTGTAATCATCAATTAGTTCAACATTGTAAGCCATGTCCACCTGCAATTATGATTTCACAACTCGTTCGAAAGGTACAAATTATATAATTGTACAAAATTAAACTAAATTAATTAACTCTACAAAACAAAAATAATTTGACGATAATAAATTTAATTAAATATAAATTATTAAACCAAATTAGCTCTACAAATTAAATCTAAACACAATAAACTAATTACCGCTACAACAAAACACAATCACTTAATTAAACTAATTGTGCTTCAATTGACTCTACAAAATTAAACTAAATGCAATAATTTAATTAACTCTAAAAAATAATGATAATTTTATGATAATAAAATTATTTAAATATAAATTATTAAACTTCTTTAGCTCTACGAATTAAATCTAAACACAATAAACTAATTAGCGCTACAAAAAAACACAATCGCTTAATTAAACTAATTGTGCTTCAATTGACTCTACAAAATTAAACTAAATGCAATAATTTAATTAACTCTAAAAAATAATGATAATTTGATGATAAGAAAATTATTTAAATATAAATTATTAAACTTCTTTAGCTCTACGAATTAAATCTAAGCACAATAAACTAATTAGCGCTACAACAAAATACAATCGCTTAATTCAAACTACATATGAATTTAACTATGTAAAATAGAAATAAAAGAAATAAATTAAATCTAAATTATTAGCTCTAGAATTAATAATATGTCTCAAATTAAAAAAAAAAACATTGCCGGCTATCGCCGTCAACGGGCGCCGTCCAAAGATAGTGAGCGGACGGGGTCCGACGCCGGCGTGCGGATGGGCAAAAAAATACAGACCACGATGTTAGTCACGGGGGTTTACCTGATTCGCTGGTCCGACGATGGAGTACGGTTGCCGTCCATTGGCCGGCGAATTATGCTGACGAGATTGGTCTGGTGGCCGGCGACTTAGGCTGCCGTCCGGTGGCCGTGAATCTGGCTATGGTGTTTGTGGGGGGTTGGTGGTCGGGTGGTGTGTATGTTGTTTAAAAAATTATTTCACCGATCGGAGGACAAAATTATCATTTTAGTTTTTTTTTTTACGGGCGGCAAATAGTAATTACCCGAGCGGCAATTAGTAACCCTCAAATAAAATACATTTAATTGACAACCCTTAGATCTGAATTTTCTGGACCGACTTAAATCTAAAGGTCCAGATTTAGTTACTAATAGGTTAGTAACCATTGGTTACTGACCCTATCCAAAGCCCACCACGATTGGGTCTTTGTCGCATGAATTCGCCTTTTAACGCCCAATAACTCTCATTTAAGCGCAATTTTTTTTTCCGCTAGCAAATACATTGGGGCATGCACCAGTTTACTTTTTGAAATAATAGATTGGGGATATTTTTGTAATATTTTAAAAATATATTATTTATGGGAAAAATCCCATACTTACATAATTAGTTCTTATATCAATGATTTGTTTCCTACTGAGATGACATAAAAGTGAGAACAAGCATCATAAAAGAATAGGGGCAAAACCACTAGAATCAATAGTGTGTAGATATTTGTTATGATTTATGAGATGATCACACCAAAAGCCATGCTTATCATTGTTGTTGCTTATTCAATATTGAGATAAAATAAAAGAAATAAAGAACAAGCATCATAATAGAATGGCGGTGCAACTATTAGAGGTTCAGTTTGGGCTTATTGTAGCTTTTGAAATTGAAAACCACTTCTAAAAACCGGACCAACATAGACAGAACAGAATCAATAGGATGCCGTTGTCAAAAAAAAAAAAAAATCAATAGGATATTGATATTTGTGATTTTTATTTTTCGGTGTATTATCATTACTTTTGAAGAGACTATTTATTTTTGTACCACACTTTAAGTATGTTTAACTTCATTATTCTTGTAAAAAAAAATCTCAATTTCACCTTGAAATGATTCTTTAGAAAATCTAATTTAACTTGTGCCTTTTCGATATAAAATTTGGTTAAAATATTAAATTAGTCTATAAATTATAAACTATAAAGATCACAAAAAACAATCGACAAAAAAATCTATAAAAGCAAATCCCTTGTCCATTTCGACTCTCAGCTCTCTGACCCAGCTCCATTGCAGCACACAAAAAATAATAATCCTAAACTAATTTCCCATTTGCATAAAAAAATGCAACAATATTAATGAAGTGTTGAGGAGTATTATTAATCTGCATAAGTATTTGATGGAAAAGGTAGTAGGCCAGGCCACATGCATTCATCACCCACTTCTTTGTTATTTCTCTAATTTTCTGCTTGCTACTGAATCACGTCGAGAAAAATCTGACATTTTCATGACTGAATTGAAAAATAAAATCAAATAAAATGGAAGCCAATGTTTATCAGGCACAGCAAAAAAAAAAAAAAAAAAAAAAACGACAATGTTTATCAAGCACAGACTAGGGTGCTAACCATGGTCGAAAAGACGGCTTAACCTTACGCCTAGTCACGCCTAGACGTAAGGCAATGCCAAAACTCCTTGCTTAGAGATGTTGTACTTACTAAGGTGCTGGAAACACTTCAACGGAGTAAGATGACGACTAGTGTCTCCTGCGCATTATTCGATGGAGCTGATTAGTCCATATGAAAGAATGAAAATAACATCATTTACAAAATCAATTTTCTAAATATATAGTGCCCATCCGTTGAGAAAAATCTGACATTTTCATGACTGAATTAAAAAATATATAAAATCAAATAAAATGGAAGCCAATGTTTATCAGGCACAACAAGAAAAACGACAATGTTTATCAGGCACAGGCTAGGGTGCTAACCATGGTTCGAAAAGGCGGCTTAAACTTACGCCTAGTCACGCCAAGACGTAATTAAGGCCATGGCAAAACACCTTGCTTAGAGATTTTGTGCTTAATAAGGTGCTGGAAACATTTCAACGGAGTAAGGTGATGACTAGTGTCTCCTATGCATTATTAGATGGAGCTGGACAGTCCATATGAAAGAATGAAAATAACATTATTTACAAAATCAATTTTCTATGTCAATATTTTCAATAGCTCAAGAACTTTGTGAGCTATTGAACTATGATCCTATAAATTTGTGAGTTGTTTATTTATCGTTAAGTGTTAAGCAAGTTATTAATCATTTTAACTGAAGTGAGAAACCACTGTAAATTTTAGGGATAATACCACTGGAAAACCCAAACTATCAAGAAAGTGTCATTTGTGTCCCGAACTATTCAATATTCCATTTATGTCCCAACATATGATAGTTGTGTGTCATTTATGTCCTGACGATTTCGTTGATCGTTATAGATAACGGTCGACAAAACGGTAGTCAAATTTAAAATTGAATTTTGTTGACATTGCAGCCACGTAGATGTCACATCATTGACACCTCATATTTTTTATTTTAAATATTTTTAATTTAAATATTTTTAAGTGACATAGAAAAATAAATAAAATTAGATTTAATCATTTTAAAATAAAAATAATATTAAATATTTCATATCAGATGCCACGTTAACGCTGACTAGATTTTGTGTTAAATGTAAACTCTGTCAACATTAACGAAAAAATAGTTTAGGACATAAATGTCATATTGAATATATAGTTTGGGACACAAGTGACACTTTTTTGATAGTTCGGGTTTCCTAGTGATGTTTGCCCTATATCATGCATGTCGTGTAAATAGATATTTTTCTTCCAATATCTAGCAAGCTTAGACTAAAAACGTATGAACACCTTTTGAACCTTGGTGCTAACATCCAATTTACTAAAATTGTGCTAACACAGATTCGGTAAATACTAACATGATTTTTTTTATTACAAGAGGTTAACCATAACCATTCAATAAGCGAAATAGTATCCCTCCCCACTTACCGCTCGGGTAGTCACGGGACAGTGAGATGTATTGAAGCGAGGAATAGAGAATGGCCATTGTAACACATCGTTGGCAATAATCCTATAGGCTGCCTCCGTGAGATGATGATCGTCCCAATTGATAAACGTCGACGGATCAGCGCAAGCTGTGCTGCCCGGGGCTCCACAAAGCAGAGACTCGTTGTAGTTGTACGGCCCTCCCCCTCCACAGCACGCTACCAACGATGATGAAGCACTGAACCCTAAAAAAATTCCATCACGACACAACATAAATTAATATCCCCTATTAGTAATAATCTTACTTTTCGTACATGTGACCAATAATTTGTTACTCACCTCAAACTCGACCAATTACTATCCAATTTATCAAATCAAGACTTATCACTTCTAAGCGACGACAAAAAAATAATCAAATAATGTACGATTTCAAAGAGGGTACTGTCACTGTGACGTACCAAATTCGTCTGGGTGTAGATGGAAGCGCATGACTGAGTTATAGTAGTCTGCATACATGATGTTGGCATGGGGATAAACTTTCTGCAACCGAACTACTTCCTCTTGGAGAAGATGGTTGTGGTGTTGGGCGAAATTGTTGAATTGAACAAGGCAACCGGTCAAGGGATCATAGTCTTCTTTGTTAGGGCTCCAGAATTTGGCCAAGTAACCTGCATGGCATCCAAGCGGGAAGTTCCCTGGAACCAGGATTGTTACTGCCCCTAATTCGACCATCTCCTGGGCCAATTAATTTACTGAAACTTAGTCTCTTGTTGAAGCAATTCGATCGGCCGCGCCGGTCAATTTTGGATCAATCAGTATTTAGTTACCTGGATTGCGTTGCCAATTTCGGCAACAACGTATGGTACTAACTCTGTTATTTGCTCAACGGCAACATTTTCAAAGTATGCTCTGTTGTAATCAATCCCTCCGATTTCTCCCATTAGAATTAGAGATTTTCCGAGGTACATCTTACATTCTGCAAAAAGCCACTTGTTAAAATGATGGTTGTAAGAAAATAATGCATAAGATATTCTCTTTTTTTATGGTTGATATTCTAACTTATTGTTCTACTGTGAGATAAGAAAATTTGCCTCACCATCTTATTTTCGTTAAATTTTTTGAAATCACTCCCATGTTTTAAATTTCAACAATCATGAAAAAACATGTTGGCGACGTAGGTTATGGTACAAAATTCAAATATACGTAGAGTTACAAAACATAATTTATTATAACGGACGAATTTCCAGAATGGTAGTTGATAAAAAATTTCAATCGCACAAATTTTTAGTGGTCAATACCTCATTCGTTTTAATTAACATTTAAAAAACAATTGAGTAAAAAAAACCACAACAAAAATTACTGTACAAAATGCATACATTTTGGTATTTTGTGGAGCAAAACAATTAGATGCCAACTTGCCATTATCATACTATAATATGAAAGTGGTATGATGATATCGTAATCTTACCACTGTCATATTATCACGATCAGAATATTAAAATACAATAATTGTATGATGTATTGTGCAGTCTCATTTTTGCATAAAATAAATTGGATTAATTAAACTCTGCAAGATGACATTCATTCTAGGAAAAATGAATCATATTAATGCTCGCTTTACATGAGACATAGCATACATATAAGTCCAACGTAACAGTTTTACGTATAGCATAAAACAGCTTCGAACATAAGGCAAAGTTATTTTTCATTCCGTGTCAAATGGGAAGGGGAAAGTAAGCAATCCAAAGTAATATCAGTTGGTTTTGGCGGTTTAATTATTTGTCCAAAATTAATCATTAATTATCTCTTCCATCATAAAAAATGATAAATAAGTAATTGTCTCTTCCATCATAAAAATGATAAATAATTATCTTCTCCTATTCTCCTAATATTGTTCCTAACCCATGTTGAAAGCAAATTACATTCCTAATGCAGCTTTAAAAAAGGGAAGGCATTTTATAACATATATTGGAATTTTACAAACAATATAGCAACTCATTTATAAATAGTGGATATGATTTTATTATTATTATTATTATTATTAAGATTGTATTGGGAGTTGGGAAGAAAGTATTGAGAAAAAACTTAATGTCATGAATAGTATAGATATTAGATACCAGATGGTGAGGAACAGAGTGTGGGCAATAAATTCCTGAATCTTTTGAGTTCATCGCCCAACGACACGTTGGTGTGCGTATTGAAGATCCCTCTCTCCGCCAGGAACCGGAAATCAAGGGCCGACGCGCCTCCCTCCGCCAAGTTTGCCCCGAACCGGAAATTGCTGCTCTTCAGCTCTCCCGGAAACGGCGTCAGCAGAGGAAGCCCCAATTTCTCAGCTGATTCAAACCCAAATCCGAAAACAAAAACATTACACACTGAGTTCAATATATATGCAGAGCAAGGTATAAGAAAACACGCTGGAAGGGAAGAGCTAGCGTTAAATGATATACATATATATTACCAATGAAGTCGACGATGAGACGCCCGTTGCAGCAGCGACCAGTCGGGCGACCGAAGTATGTTTCGCCGTTTGGTAGGGAGCAACAGTGAGCGCACTTACCCAGCAGCATCTGGTTGCCGGTGTCGCTTACGGAGTCGCCGAAGCTGAACAGTGACGTGAAGTATTGTCTGATACCACCGCCGGCTGCTTCTGCTGCCGCCGCCGACGACAGGAGGATCAGGAAGAGAAGAGCAGGGCTGAACAGAGAACTGATAGTGGTCCGAATTGCCATTTTCAGTAATGAATAAATTGGCAAGCTGAAGCTGCGATAAGTGATTTTGGGAATTTTGCTTCCATTGGGCTTTGCATTGCAGAGACAGCATTCTTTATCGAAGTGGATCCGACCTAACCCTTCTCCACCCAGCCCCTACACGGATCTGAACCGGTCAGGCGGCCACTTGGCCGCAATAATTTTAGATCTATTGTTTAAATAAAGGGCTAATACCACCGGAAATACCAACCTTTAGCGAAAGTGCCATTTATATTACGTAATTATCGATATGACATTTGTATACCAAAATGTCTATTCCGTTAGTTGGGCCGTTAAATTTAACTGTCAGACTTTTCAACGTCCAGTCATCACCTAATAGGATCGTACGTGGTTCGCTAACGTGGACATTTAAGTATTTGTTTATTTAATATTTACCCAATTAAAATATAAAAAACAAAAATATATATATGCAAAAACAAGGAGGCCCCAGTAACACATTCATTTTGTTCTCACCTTTTCCTCTTCGTCACTCTCGATTACGAATAGAGGAAGAACCCTAGAAAAAGAATTTCTCAAAATCGACGAGGTGGGTGGAATAAATCGACAATCAAGTGGAGTGGAGGGGGAGTTGGAGGCGATCGAGCTGATTCCGAGGTCAAGCATGAGGGGGGCTTCTGCTACTTCTTTCAGGAGGCGACATCGACCGAGACGAATTAGCTTCCCAGTTGTTGAATCCACGGCTTTCATTAATCCAGCAGTAATTGAAGTTACAACTAGTCCAACAAATGCCGAGGTCGCCGCCGCTTCTGCTCCTCCCGCAACGCCGTCTTCTCCGTCGTCCATTGCAGGGGAGAAATTCGCCGGCAAAACTGACCCACCTACTCTCAAAAAACAAGATCTGCTGGTTGCAGAAATTAGCAGCGGTGGTTATCGATTTGATGCGATCGATTATTGAGAAGACGGGGAATTGGTTTCCGAGCATCCCGACGCCGTTCATCAATTAAGCAGGGTCCGATCATTTGACTGCAGAAGCAACTCGACTAAGAAGAGGAAATCAATTGCCACGATGTGTGCCAGATCTGGGTCTGAGATGTCCACGTGGGCGTCGTAATTTGCTCGGATGGTCGGGAGTAGGGGAGTCACGATCTGTTCGGTGAACGAACAGATATTGTCGCCGCCGACGGGGAAATCGAGCCGGCGGAGGCTCTGTTCTGCAAACCGGCGCTTCATTGATGTTGTTATTGATCTGGTGTACTGAAACTGATGGTGGAATAATGGTCGGGTGAGAGTAGGGGTGAGAATACAGGTGGGAAGATTGGAGGGCGAACTGGATCTCACAATCTCCACCCCCAAACCCTAATCCCCAAATTGCGTTGGGCATTCTAATCAACGAACGAGTGATGGAGATTAGAGAGAGGAACAGGTGAGAAAATATAATAAAAATAAATTTATTAAAAAAATTAATTAATTAATTTTAAAAATTAATTATATATTTTATTTTAAATGTTAAATCTAATTTCCCACGTGGCATCTACGTGTTGCATATGTGGACCACACATAGGCGCCACTTCATCAGTGGTCAGTCAAAGGTTGACCGCCGTTAGGTCAGCCGTTAGTTCTAACGGTCAACAGAAATTCACGTAACACAAATGACGCAAACATCTAATAGGTTGGAATATTTTTGTATTTATTGAATTTACGTAATATAAATGACACTTTTACTAAATGTTGGTATTTCCAGTGGTATTAGCCCTTAAATAAATTATATAAAAGTTAGAATTTTTTTTATCAGAGAATGTCGGTAGATTTTATCTATAATAATGACACATTGTTGAAAGTTCTTTATTATTGATTTACGTACTCGATTGAGAATTCTCATGACTTCTCCTTTAATCAATGTGATATTGTACCAGCTAAGTAGTGTATAAAGCCGTTTAGTGATATTCTGAATAGGATTTTAGTTGTGTGACTAAAACTATAATATGGTTTGATTTCCTTTCACAAAATGGGAATAATCAATTGACTCATCTTGAAACTATGAAAATGAATTATATTATATTTAGATTTTTATCAAAGATTTTCAATTAATTTTTTTATCAATAGTGTTTATCTATATAATGAAAGTGGTTTATATTTTTATCATACTTTTACCAAAAGTCTCTTCATCATTATATTCTACCCATTGTTGAAAGTTGTTTATAATTGATTTACGTACTCTATTAATGATATTATTATTTCTCATCACTTCTCATTATGGATTCTCAATGCTTATCTAATACGACATCGTACCAATTAGGTAGCGTATAAATCTGTGTAATGAGAGTTCATTTGTGCGACTACAACTATAATATAATCTGGTTTGATTTCCTTTCACAAAATGGAAATACTCAATTGACTATTTTGAAACTATGAAAATGAAATCAAAACTATACCATTGCTAGATTGGTTAACCATTATTGTTATTGAACAATCCAAGTACAACATCAGTAATACAAGGGAAGAGACCCTTGTATATAAGTGTTCACCAAGCTCATTAGTACGAGGCTTTTTGGGAAGAAACCCAAAAATAAAAACCATGCGGGCTTGGCCCAAAGCGGACAATATCGTAATAATTGAGATCCTAGGTTATGACAAGTGGTATCATAGCTTGGTTTGTGGCGGGGCGGTGGACTTCAATTTGATGGGACCCTCATTCAGTGAACCTCAAGATTTGAGATTCGCGTCTGTTTGGTTGACCTAGGAGAGATCCACATTTGTTTGGCAGATGAAAGAGAGTTCTCTTATGAGAAGCAAATCAAAGAGAGTTCTGCGTTTGAATAATCCTTGTATCGAGAAGCCCATTGATACTAGGTGTCTGGTAGATCAAGATAATCATTGAGGAGAGGACACAAAGTACGTGGTTCTTGTTTTGAGAAGATGATTGTTATGGGACAATCCAAGTACCACATCGAAAATACAAGGGAAGAGACCCTTGGATATAAGTGTCCACCATGTTCATTAGTACGAAGCTTTTTAGGAAGGAACTTAAAAGTAAAACCGTGCAAGCTTGGTCAAAAGAGGACAATATTGTACTAAATAAGCTACCTGATTTCGACATTATCCGCAACAAAAAATGAAAATGTCTACCATAAAAACTAAAAAGTTTAAAACAGAAAATAGGCCAAGAAGGAAAGTACTAAACCCAAGAAAAATATGGTTACTATGGCAATTACCAAATCAAATCATTTTCAATTCTATTGATCACGGAATACAATATCATAACCAAACTGACCAAACTAATACAACAACCAAATTAACCAAATAATATTTAATCGTGAATGGTTAATTGGTTAACCAATATAATATAACATTATTTATGTAAAAATTATATAACATAACATTATTGTTACTTTAAGAAAAATATCATGTTAATTTATCAACCATAATTTATATAATAAATAAAATATAACAATTTAACACATAGTCAATCTTTAACATAAATACATGCAATTAATATAATTATCTTGAAGAATGAGGTGGAAATGGAAATGGAGAATGATTTCAGTGGAGTCGTTTGGTAGACCCTAAGATTGGAACAATGATGGAGCCGTTGAAAGTCCTTCTGGAGATTCTACCTCAGAGGGAGGTCAACAACGAAAAATAAAATATTTTGCTTCATGTTCCAATTTCTGGCGAAAAAATTAACTTAGCGTTAAATTTAACTGAAAAAATTAATGAACTAAAAATTAACTTTGATTCATATTTCTATTTCTTTTAATCCCAACCCCCTGACTTCCCTTCCGTCTTCACCTGTCATCTCCTCCGCCTTTTTTTTTTTGGCTTTTTTTCTTCTGCGTTTGTCTACTTTTTCGGCCATGTTTTGGCTTTCTCTTCCTCTCTGTGGTTTGTTTTGTCACCCTTTGGCAGATTCCCTTTGCCCCCTTATGTGAGTTGATTTTTTTGTCCATTGATCAGGTTTCCAGATCTGGAGATCCTTGTCCCGTTCAGGATGCGATGGAGGTTGGATCTGACATATCCGACTTGTCTTCTCTTCTCCCCTTCTTTGGTTTATCTCCTTGTTTTGCCTTGCATTTTTTGGCCATCCGGAGATGCAGCCCTTAGGGAGGATCCTGATGGGAGAGCTTGAAGACTGGTGTTTTCTAACTCTCTGCCTCCGCCAACCAGGGGCGGACCCACGGGTGTTTACGGGTGTCCCCGGACACCCTTAAATTTTGGGAAAACGATTATCCAACCCCTGGTAGTAATTTACGTATTGATAAAAAAATTATAATTGATAGTCGGGGACACTCCTAAATTTTAAAAAAGTGATTATCCTACTCTCATCTTTTAATTTGAGTATGAGAATATAGGTCGTAGTTTGGGTAATTCAAACTTAGGATACTTTTATTATTAATAAACATAATTTTCATTAGGCTACAACTCATATGTTATTCGATTTTAAACACTGTGTAATAGTATAATGTAATTCTCTATCTCTAATTATTTTCAAAATATAACAATTAAACAAATTTCAAGCTACCCTTAATTTGTATTGATTTATGGTTGTACAACAAGTATTGAAAGAGTCTTTTCAACTTTGGATTACATCAAGAACAAGTTTAGAAATTGAATATGTGATCAGTTCGTGAATGATTGTCTAATATGATATACAGAGACGATTTTTTTTGAACAGTGTAGACCCCAAGTGTGTTCTACAATCATTTTTTAATATGAAAACACATTGTGAATTTTTTTCAAACTGTATGAGTAAATTATTTCTTATTTAAATATTATTTATTAGTTATTTTAGAATTATTTTAATTTAATTTATTTTTTAAAAGAGGACACCCCTATGTAAAATTTCTGGGTCCGCCACTGCCGCCAACCGTCCGGTTGTCTGTTTGGTCTCATGGTGGCCGGCGAGATGTGTAGGTTGATCGGCTCGGTGTGAGATGATTTGTTGTTTCCTCCTCGTCTTGCATTCCGTGTCAGATGGGTTCCCAAACCAGAGCTTGGCTCTTGGCGACGCTCAAAGGATGTGTGGTAGCGAGGCGACTTGTCAGGAGTGGTGGTCGTATATACGCCCTCGGCGAAGGTGATTGCGACCACTTTCTGGAAATGGTCGTGGTAAATTTTTATTCAGCGACCATTATAAATGGACGTGAAAACCTTGAGTTTTTACGACCACTTCAAAATGGTCGCCGAAAGGCTCTTAGACGATGATTTAGACAGTCGCTGAACTGTTACATATTTCGCAAAAGGTTCATTTAGGTCGCCCAAAATTACTTATTTCGACCAAATCCGTAGTTGGTGAATGCTTTAATTTATTGCGACCACAAATTCTGGTTGCAGAATCTTATTTTTCTTCGACAATTTTATTCAACGCAAATCATGAATCTTAATTGGGAATAATGATTTGGTTCCTCACAACCTGGGAAAAGAACATGCTTGTATATAACATACCATACTACAATAATGCAATCACACATAACTAAAGATAATTACCATATATTTCATTATTCATTGTGTTGACAAAGTACTTTGACGTTGACACAATGAACTAGTCATGGTCTACAAACTATTGTCTAACTCTACAAGTAGCACTTCCCAAAATGTATGTCCACCTAGCTTCTTGTAGCACTCCCAAAAAATGTACGTCCACCTATAGTTTCATTACTCATTAGCACTTTCCAAAATGTTATATCCACCTTGCTTGAAGCAATTCCCAAAATTCATCCAACCTAGAACTTCCCATCGATTGCATGGAGACCAACCTGCAACGAACATATTATCTCTATATGTAACTAGTATGTATCAATCATATAACATAGCAAATAGAGGAGTGAAAGTAAAAAGACAAGATAATGAACAAGGAGGAAAATATTACAACAATCATAATGCAACATCATGACCATATCCCATTCATACTAAAGGCAAGAGAAACCTAGTTTTCTCTCCTCATGCTTTTCAACAGTAGCTATCACAATAAGTAGAATTGTAAAAGAAAGATTGGATTTCCTAGTGGTATTTGTGAACTAAAATGCACAAATTAAACTAACTGAAACTAACAAGGTAAAAGTATAGAAAGATCTCTTCAAAATAACAAGTTAGTAAAAATATAAAAAGTCGCCTACCACAAAAATCGAACACGCACCCACAAACTTCCAGAATCAATTTCTTCCGCTAGACTATGAGCATCTTAATGTGTTAGTTTTCGGACAAGAGTTAATTTAAAAAAACAACAAAATTTA